TATATCTATCACCTATTGATCATCTACATATCTACGTATCTACATATCTATCCATCCATCCACCCATCATGCCTATCTATCTATCACCTATTGATCATCTATCTATGTATCTACATATCTATCCATCTATCATATCTATCACCTATTGATCATCTATGTATCTATGTATCTACATATCTATCCACCCATCCATCATATCTATCTATCATCTATCTATCTATCTATCTATCTATCTATCTATCTATCTATCTATCTATCTATCTATCATCTATCTCTATCATCTACTGATCATCTACATATCTATGTATCTACCTATACATCCATCATATCTATCTATCTATCTATCATCTATTGATCATCTACATATCTATGTATCTACCTATCCATCTATGTAGCTATCTATCTATGCATCATATCTATCTATCTATCTACCTATCTATCACCTATTGATCATCTATGTATCTACGTATCTACACATCTATCCATCCATCCATCATATCTATCTATCTATCTATCTATCTATCTATCTATCTATCTATCTATCTATCATCTATTGATCATCTAATTATCTATGTATCTACTTATCAATCCATCATATCTATCTATCTCTCTATCTATATCTATGTATCATCTATCTATCTATCATCTATTATCTATCATCTACTTACATTTGATGTTGTTGATGGCTCACATTAAGTACTACAATCTCCACCTTCCTCAAACCCATAGTTACAGTCGCTGAGTCCATCCACCTCATCAAGGGTCTGCCTCTCTGTCTCAGATCCTCCACTTTCTCCAGCAGGACGTCCTTCTCCAAGGACTCCCCAGACTGGCCTCCAAGGAGAACCCTAGTTGACCTTCTTCCTAGACAGACTTGTGTGTTCTCTTGGCCATCCATGGGATGGTCAGCGTTTTCTTCCTCCAACCCCACCGCTCAGAGCTGTCCATTCTTTTTTGGCCTTCCTTATTCATTGTCCAACATTCAGATGCAAACTTGAAAATACCAAAGCTTGGATCTGGTACACCTTAGTCCTCCAACTGACACTGTTGCTCGTTCCCACTTTGACAAGGCCCCTGACAGCCAATTTTCACAGGGAAACATGTGTTTTGATCTCTTGACTGTTGCTCACAAGGATATTGATTGAAGATCCAAGTAAAATTTGATAACTTTGGATAAAACATTGATAACTTTACATCCCCTATCTATCATGCTATTTATTACTCTCCCAGTGATAATAATTTTTGTTTCTTCACTATTCAGATGTCATCCACATGGAGAACTGTAGTCTTTGATCATCTTCAGGAAATGCTTCAAGCCCTTTTTACTTTTGATATCAATATACCCAAGGCACTAACCTTCTTTCTAATTGTGTAAAAAATATTTTATTTTTTTATTATTACTATAAATTTCAACGAATATTTACAGACATTGTGGAATTCCATTCTTCTTATTATTTTAATAAATGTTAATAATAATATTTCTTTTCTTTCCCCATCAAATCAGATGGTCCCTCCTTCTCCCACACAGCATCTGGTGGATTCGAACTGCTCACTTCTGGGATTTAACCTTCTTTCTAATAAAAATAAGGGTTTCATTTATATTAGTTTGCTTACCAAGTTCATATATCATTCTGTTTCACTCCATCCTTCATGCATATGGACACCAGTTTTGATGTATCACCAAATTCCAGGGTCATTTGTGAAAAACAGTCTTTCCCACTGTCCCCCCAGCCATGCACCCTCCCCTCCTCACAACAGACACAAGCCCACTGTTTTGCAAATTTTAAGTGACAAGTCGCCTCATTGTGTGTCTTTCTGGTGTCTCTCACCAGAAATCTTGCCGTTCCGGCTTGTCAATTTTAATTTTGACACTGTGAAAGTGATGTGGAATGCAAGCAGCCTCCCGGGGACCAATCTGAGCTTTTTCTACAGGTAAGTCCTTCAGGTACGCACTCCTGTGCGGTTGGACTATCTCTGCTACGATGACTCTTTCACCAAACCCTCAGACTTGGGTGTTTCTTGGATGCAAAGAGGAGGGGTTGAGAATGGGAGTGTGTGTTATGAGTTCTGATCTCAGCCTGGCACCTACACCCATCAATCTGAAGTATCCCCACACCTCATACCAAATTATCCAGATTCCTAACAAAATTGATACCGAGTGTCTCTCTCACTCCGTCCATTCCAAGAGATCTCAGCAAGGTCCAGTCCTTGGCCAGCTTGAAGTGTCATACCTGAGTGATGAGTGAGCCACACGTGGAAATGTCTAGATTCTTGACGAAATGGGTACCTAGGGTCTGCCTCACCCAGTGCCTTCGAGGGCGTCTCAGGAAGGAAAAAGAGATTGCACACAGATGTAACAAATTGGTGTTATCTCAATAGACTGTATCAACTCTATGGTAGAGGATGAAAGAGAAGTGAGTTTGGTGCCATAGGTGAAGGTGGTGTCTCTAAATCCCAGCTGGACCGTTCTCTCTCTCTCTCTCTCTCTCTCTCTCTCTCTCTCTCTCTCT